TAAAAAATTAAAAAATATATTTTTTATAATTAGAAAAATTAAATAATAACAAAAAATTTTTAAATTTAAAATTATATTTTAAAATTAAAACACTAAAATTAATATTGTGTATATAATCTAATGGTTAGAATAAAAGCATAAAACTAATACAAAATATTAAAATAAAGAAATAATAAATGTGAATCATTGAAGAGTGAGAAAAGTTCTATCCACAGCTGGCATTGGGATGTGATTCAAAAATCTATAAGTATAAGAATCCTAAGTTCCTAACTTCTCCCCCTTTTTATTTCTCTCATCAGTGCTTTATTCCTTGGTTGGTCCCTCTTATTTACTCTCTCTTTTCTATTTCTCTAATCATTTACTTTTTTTTCTTCTATCTCTCTTTTATTTGGTTCTCTGACTAGTGGCAAGTTTTATTAAAGATTTATTATCTTTCTTGCTTTTATTTCTAGGCTTTCAAGGCACTTCAACATAAAAAAATTGTGGAGTCTTTTTTTATTTTTTTAGTAATTTATTATAATTAAATGCTTCATATGCCTTTCACTTTCTCTCTCAATGCCTTTTTTGCTCATTATAATCTTTCTCCTAGACATCTCTCCGACTCCACCAGCAAAGTTCATTCTTTACTTCCTCGCTTTCGTTTCACAAATTATTTTTTATTGATCTAATTAAATTTTCTTTTTATATTTTTATATTTAAATGTAAGTTTATTTTACCTAACAACCATTTTTTTCTTATTTTTTATAACCAAAATCACATGTTAATGAGAATAAGTTTTTTTCAAACAAATATAACAAATTTTGATTGCATTTTTTAAAAATTAATTGAGACTTTGATATTATATTTTACATGATTTATCATATCATTCATAAAAAAATAGTGATTCATTATTTTTTAACTTTATAAATTTATGTGATATCTAAAATGATATCTTAAAAATAATAAAGAGAATAATATATGGTTCACAAAGTGCTTAATGATACAATTTAGGGAAATTCACCTTTTTTTCACATATTTGAGGCATGCTTTTGACGTGGGCATTAGTCAAATGTTATGCCCATTCCACTCATGAACACATCAGTTTCCTCTCTCTTTCTTGGCTTGTCACAATGGCAATGATAGGGTTGGGTTCATGTTAATTTGCATAAGAATTTTTCACTCATTACCACTGTAGCATGCTAGGTAAAAGTGAGAACATTGATATGTCGTTGAGTGAAATAGGTATGACATCTGAATAACCGCTATTTGAGAAGCAAGTTTTAAAATTTAAATCCGTTATCATGGGAAGTATTTTCTCAAATCATATTACTAAGAGCCTAATAATCCTAAATTTTTTGTTGGGGTGTAAATAAGCTTAAAATTTATAAATTTGGTTGGAATGATAAAATATATAAGTTATAGGGCTAAGTAAGGAGTTAACCCTTTTGTATTTGTTGACGAGCTTGTTTTCGTTCTTCCTTTATGGGGAAACTTCATAGTCCCTCTTGGGGAAGCTTCCTCTTGGTTCCTAAGTTTAACGTATAAATAGGGGAGGATTGACGCGCTTTCGTTCACCCAAATGCAAATTTTAGATGACTCCGCTCCGTTCACACGAATACTCAAATCCATTAGGGTGGAAAGTATTTTCTTAAATCATATTACTGAGAGATTAATAATCTTAAATTTTTTGTTGCGGTGTGAATAATTTTAAAATATATAAATTCGGTAGAAATGATAAAATATATACGTTTTCCCCTGTCCAAAGGTTAGCGCCAGATCATTCGCCACTGAATAATTTAGGGCTGCAACATTCAGGTAGGTTTCAGACACGAATCGGATTGTTTGGTCCAGGTTTCGTAACCGATTTGTCTTGAAACCGACCCGCGTTGTTGTTGCTAATATTAATAAAATTTTGGTCAAATTAAAGTTACACCCCTTGTAGTTTGGAGTGCGTGCGCTTAACCCCCAAACCACTAAAATATTCGCTAAAAATTTATTTTTTCAAACAAGTACAAATTTAAAAAGAAAGAATTTGAACCCAACACATTCCTTTCTAAATGTTAATATTTAATTAACCTTTTAGGTTACGTATAAAGAAATTATTCTCTTACATTATTGTTATAAAAATACACATAAATAATCTAATTTAATTGTTATAGTTTAAATTAATTGTCACATTTTTTAATTAAAAACATTAAAAGTTATATTATTCTAATTTTACTCTTATGATTAAATGGAGATGAGGTAGGATTTTTTTTATTTAATTGGAATTTAATGCAAAAATAAAAAGATATAGGAGTATGAAATAATAAATAAAATTTCTTAATAATTATAAATGAATGAATAAAATTGAAACAATTAAATTAGACCTTAGTAGTTAGTAGAAATAATGGTAGTATTCGTACAAAAATAGTACTCCTACTTCTGTAAATCTGTGACCTTCTAATCCTTTTTTTTTTTTCTTCCTATTGTAGGACAAGATTGACCAGAAAATTACTCGGGCTTTTGGGCACCCTGCTCTCGATGTTGGTCGCCCTCTTACAATTAAGGTTCCAATCTACAACGGCCTCCCCTTTCGACACACACAGGCTTCACTTTGCAGCATTTTTCACCGTCATCGTCATCTTTACCGTATTACTGGTAATCGGATTCAAACTCGAAGCTGATAATTCAGAGCGCCCGCCGACTATTTTGAGCACAACCTGCCTCTTCATCGGATATCTAAGTCTCATCCCGCTGCTTTTGGTCATCGAGCCTTGCGTTGCATGGACGGTGCTCATCCTATGGTTCTTCTCCTTTGTAAAGTGGGCTCGGGAATCCTTCAAGGAGATCTGTGATTCAATTGTGTCTGCAGTTGAGCCTGCAATTAGTTCTCTGAAAACCCTATTTAATTGCAGTCGCAATCAGAACGAAGAAGCAAATGTGTCTACCAATGTTTAAGCCAAGAGAGTTTTCAACATGCTGCAGATTGCAGAATAAGAGGTATTCCTCGTTGTTGCTCGTTGCTCGTTGTAGTGTACCATTTTTAATTTGTATTAGGTTTTCCTCTTTGTAAAGTCTAAGTCAATGACTGATGTCTGCTTTGAGATTTGGTGAGGGTAATGGTTTTCCATTCTGTATGGTCAAGTTTCTAAGGGCTAGAAAAAAAAAAAGAGGAGAAAGTCTACAATATCCCTGTTATATCACGTGGGATGTATCCCAAATCAATAATATGTGGGGCGATAAAACACCTAAAGCTGACACCATTTCTTTGACTTCCTTGTTACTTTCTTTGGGCCGGTTCTACTTCTTCCTCTCTGTTTCTTATTTTTTTATTTTCTTTGCCGCGTTTACCTGCTACCCTTGAAAGGTTGAATAGCCATTTCTTCTTCTTTGTGTAGTTCCAATAAAGTGATTTATGTGTACCAAAAAAAAAAAAAAAAAGTGATTTATGAGATTCTTCTCATTTTTTATAGTCATTAATTTTTTTTTCTGTAAATCTTATATCATCAAAATTAAAATTTTTGTATCTTGGATATACTATTGTCACCAATTAACAAAAGAAATTCAATTTGATATTCAATTAGGGAATGTGAAGGAAGGCTGAGACTTTGAAGATACATTATAAAAAATCATGAGGTCAAATGTTTCGGCGATCTGTAATATATGTTTTTTTGTGTTCACAGTGCCTTTGAACACCCAGACCATGGCGGCTGTCATCTACCTCTTTCATCCCTTCTCCAAAACCCATCCATTTTTGCTTTTCTCCAAATTCCGCAGTCGATATTGATGCTAATCATCACAAGAAGGTGTTTTTAAAGCAATCCCTCCTGTATCCTTGAGAGAAGAAAAGAGTGGAGAATGAAAAGGAAAGGAAAGAAAAGGAAATGCCGATGGGAGAAGGAAGACACAAGGCAAAAGAAAAGAAAAGCGACGACAGGAAACAGTGTTAGTTTT